CCCCAAAACCCCAAAACCCCATGATTATGCATTTTGCTACTTTCTGATGTATTATAAATAAATGACAAATAAAAAGCAATAATTAATAAATTAGATGGAAAAAAATCAAATTGAGAAATTTCGTTCTGGACTAAAGTAAATCAAGTAAGACATCAAGAGCGTATGCAAATTCAATAAAATAGGGGAATTGAAGGAATGCTACTAATAAATGATTAATTCTGAATGGTATCAAATTTAACAGGATAATGAGAGGTAAAAGATTGAAATCATTTACAGATACTACTTAGCTGAGCTTTATAGATTCTTTAATGAGAAGCACATAGCTTTTCCACTTTTAAACGATCATCTTCTTAGTTTTGCAAAGAAAGAAGATTCGAATGACAACATAAAGTTTAGAATAGCATACTTGATGATTTTGAAAGATCAAAATATGAATGAAGCAACTACTAATGAAACATTAAAGTTCTTAGCAGACTATATGATAATAAAGTAAACAGCTTGGAAATATCTTATACAGGGAAACCTAATTCTGGCAGATTTATATGAAGAGTTAAGTGTCTATCAAAAAGCTGTGGAGAGGATTGATCAAGCAAAACAGTTGCTAGAACAAAATGCACCAGATCATCTTAAAAACTATTGGCTTACTGAAATTCACCTAAAGTACGCAGTAATTAACAGTGAATTCTATAAAAAGGGTTTGGTCAATGATAACTTAGAGTAAGCTTAGAAATTAGTAGATTTGACAAAGAATAAGTCTCATTAAGCTTAGATTTATAAGATAAGAGGTTTAACAGCAACAGGATTTTATCAGCAAGAGTAGGCTCAAGGATTCTATGAGAAAATGCTAAAGATTTTGAAATAGTTGTATGTGGAACATCATCCTGCCATTATCAGATGCTATAAGAAATTACTCTTCTGCTGCATCAATAGAAAAGGAGATATGGAAAGACTTAAGCATGCTGAAATTTACTGTGAGAAAGCATTTGAATTGGCAAAGGAGATCTTTGACATTCAGGATTCTGATAGAGAGGAAGATCTCTAACACTTAATGCTAATCAAAATCTTACTTTACAAAGCATAGATTTCAGCAAGAATGCTTAAAAGAGAAGAATTTAAAGAAAAGTATTAGAGGATGAAGAATTTGCTAAGTGCCACTTTGCTAGATGAGACAAATATTAATTAGAAAATGCTTTTAAAGATTATTGATGATGCTGGTGAAGTAGATTACTAAGAAATTTCTAAAGAAATTACTAGATTGAACAAAAAGATAATGAAAAGATATAACACTGATGATAATGCATTTTACTTTTTGGAATATTTCCCAAATTTACAAGACGATTTCGAAAGAAAGCCTTATAAAGCCATTCACTTTGTTAATAGAGGGATGAAGAAATTCGAGGAGCAATTTGGCAAAGATTCTCTGCTTTTCTTGATTTTTGAACTTTATCAGATATTAATTGATATAAGCACTGCTAAAAGTGGACTGGAGAAATATCTTTAATAAATTGAGAATGCCAGGAATGTATTATTAAGGCATTTCTGTGGAGAAGACAAGCATTTCATTTTTTTGATTTTATATCAAACTGAGATCACTTATTACAAAAAAATGATTGAAATTTCCTAAATAAATGGCCAAAATTTACAACAATACTATCTTGGCTTTATCTAAAGAGCTGAGAAACTAATAGAAATCAATCATAACAAAAATGGTATTTATTCCTCTAGTGATCTACAGTTGCTTTCTGAAATGATTACTTATCTTATACCCTTAACCTAATTTGAAAAGGCACAGAAATATTTAGATCTTTACATGGAGATAGTAGAAAAGTTACCATGGATTAGGAATAAAAATCCTTAGGAAGAATACTTTTATGGAAGAGTTTTGAGAGAAGATCTTAGAATCCTAAATGGAAGAACTAAGGATTGGAGAGAATTTGATAATTTTTATGATTCTATCCAAAAGGATGACAGTATTTGTGAGAAAGAAAAGCAAACTATAAATGAAATTGTAGTTGTAGCAAAGAAACTGGATCTCCTATTACTAAAGCAGGACACATCAGATGCTTATGCAATCGCTAAATCATTCTTGGATGAAAATGAAAAATCAAAGAAATACTCAGATGCTTAATTGGCTAAAATTCTTTTAATTATGGGAAGTATGTGTGCAACACTTCTTAAATTTGAAGATGTTATCTAGATTTCGAATAGACTGGAAAAAGCATTTATTGATGATAGTATTGAATTCAGCAAATCTATTACACCACAAATTAGAAAGCAATTATCTTAATGGGTAGAAGAGGCCAAATAGTAAATTCAAATTAATAAAACGAAGAATAAAAACAATTATGCTTTTGCTAATCAATACTTGATTGGAACTTAGCTGTGGGTTTCAGTGTTTGTATCGCTTTTGGCATATTAAAATATCTAAAGAATAAGACATGATATGTTCCTATCATCAACAGAAGAAATTATAGAAATATCAACAGAAGCTGATGCTAATTCATTGCCTAGCTCAAATTTTTAAAGCTTATCGACAAAATTAAATAAATATTGTAAATTCTACTAATTTTTTTATGATTATTCAATTTTTTAGTTTTATTAAAATTTATTGATGAAGGGGTTTTGGGGTTTTGGGG